TCACTTGAAGTGCCTTGCCATGGAACCTGAACATCGATTGGCAAGAAGCTCTTTCCTTGACTGGTAACGATGCACGATAAATGCGTATCCATCTCGTGCGTACTGAAGGGGAAAGTGTAAGGCAATTTCTGTGTCTGCAAGACGGTGGAGAGCGAACGAATGTTGTTGATCCCATTCTCGCGTAATTGTCCTTCATTCATACTCGATTCATCGATGAACAAGATCGAATGACGAACCAATTGCAGCCTGCCTGCCTTCAGACCACGCTCGTCTGCATCACTTTTTGGCGCAAAAAGCGTCGATGGTGCGTTCAAGTGAGCCAAATCGAGTGATTGATCGGCAACGAATGGTAAGATTGCGCGAAGGGTGGTGAGTAGGTTTGCTTCTTTGCCGTTCTCGTTTGGAGTGATTGGGAAATTGCTTATGTTCAATGTAAGAGCACCTAGCATATGCGCTGCTGAACGGGTATGTATGCGTGCAGCGAGTGCTAACAACAGCCATTCGGCTACCAACGAATCGCCTCCGACGGATCTCTCGAGTAGTTTTAGCAGCTCTGATCGTGCATTTTGGTCAATGCTCTGCGAGTCTGAACTGGAGGCAGCCTTGCCTCGTTGACGGCCTACCTCTAAAGCAATGACGTGTAGGGAAGAATGCGTGGCAGCAGGCGAGGATGCATTCTCCTCTTCATTTGCTTGACCGCTTCCCATCGACGTCCAATCTGCACTTGGCAATACAGTTTGATCAAGAATGCCCATCACATCAACAATTTGTGAAACCTGCAACTTTTCCGCCATTTCCTCATCGTAAACTTTGAGTAGAATGGCGTCACCTTCACCTCGTGGTAGCTTGTCGGTCAAGCTGGAAGAGCTTGTGAGTGCACTTGTGCTACTGCTTTCTGAACTACCAACACCCTCTATTCCTTCATCAATACATCTTGACCATTCAGATTGGGCAGGAAGAGAAACGCCGCACAAAGTAGCCAACGAGCTGAATGCAGCATCAGTATCCAGAGCCTGTTGTTGGGCACCATCACCCGCACGAGAAGAAGCTCCGAATAATCCATTCATTGCTCTTCCGTCAGAAGCACGATATTGAGAAGGGAGGACTTCATTTCCCAGATTGGTATCTTGAATCATGCATCTCCAGCGTACGAGCTTATTGAATTGCGTTGAAGAAGATTGCGACTCTTTGATCAGTTTTGGTGTGAGAAATGGAATCTTGTTCCGAGCTTCATCCGATTTGAATAGCTCTAAGAATTGGTTTTGAACATCCTGAACGAATTGGACAGAAGTGGTGGTGCCCTTTTCGAACCTTGCTTGGATCAGACTTAGTGGTGCAACAAGTGCTTGTTCGAATTCTTGTGAGATTGGCACAACCATTTTGATAACGATGATAGTGAAAGAACAACAAACAACAAACAACATTCCAATCAAACGAGAACTTCTTCTCATGCACGACGCGCCAATTTACACGCCCAAACACGCGTAGCGTAACACGCGTTGGAACTTAGATTAGTCATCATTGTTGTTTGATCTTAGCCCTCTTTTAAGATGCTTTGCTTACCTCTTTACCATCACATACAACGGCAGCTTGATGTATCAATCATGTCGTTCGGTAGCGGAGGGAAGGATGGTCCTATTATGGCAAGAGCATCGCATGGATCTACAGCATCTTTGAGCAATCTAACATCACAAAAGTCCACTGCTCCTCCGGAAGAGAATCCGTTTCCGATTGTTACATATAGACATCTCTTATCTGCTGGATCATTAACGCCATCCAATCCATTACGTGTCATTGCTCATTGTGATGTTGATGCGGCATATGCACAATTTGAAGCGCAAAGGCTAGGGATCGACTCGTTTGCCATTCCTCTTGCCGTTCAACAATGGTCAGGTTTAATCGCTATTGGATACAAAGCAAGAGAATTTGGAATTAATCGACATTGCGATATTACAAAAGCGAAAGAACTTTGTCCGGATATAATGGCAGTGCATGTTCAAACGATTGCACCAGGTGATAGTGAACCAGGATATCATGCAAACCCAAAACCTGAAACACACAAAGTATCTTTGGATCCTTATAGAAGAGAATCACGTAAAATTTTGGCAACCTTTAAAGCAACATGCCCTTTAGGTCAAGTGGAAAAAGCGAGTATCGATGAAAGTTATTTTGACTTGACGTTAGAAGTACGGAAACTAATCTTGCACAATTATCCACATTTGAAAAGACCGCCTGAAACTGCTAAAGGGATGGATGAACCGCTGCCAACGCCACCTTTGATAGAATGGGATAATTGTGGTGAATTAATGCCGATCAAAAGATTGGACGAAGATGGTGCACCAATGCAAAACGAAGATGAATTCGTTCCTTCACAAGAACATCAATTGATCAATCCGACATGGACAGACGTAGCATTGGCACACGGAGCAGTTTTGATGACAAAAGTACGTAAAGCTGTTTTGGAACAGAACGGATATTCAACATCTGCAGGAATTGCATCAAACAAGACATTGGCAAAACTTTGTTCAGGCTATCGTAAACCGAATAATCAAACAACCTTATTGCCGAGAGCGGTACCTGCATTTCTACGGGATTTACCCGTTGGTAAAATTCGATTCTTAGGTGGAAAATTAGGCAAAGAGATTGGAGATTTATGGGATGCAATAACAGTTGGAGATCTATGGAGCGTCCCATTAGAATCAATGCAAGCTCATTTTGGACCTGAAGCAGCTTGGGTACATGCAGTCTTGCGTGGCATTGATCATTCTCCTGTTAGTGCAAGGATCGCGAATAAGACAATGTTGGCCTCCAAGAACTTAAGACCGGTGATCAAAAGAAGGGATGAAGCATATGGATGGCTGGATACTTTGTCTACTGAATTAGTTGCTCGATTACGCGAAGTATGGGAAGATGAACATGAAGCATCCAAGATAGATGATCCCAAAGCGAAATCAACAATCTTACCAACCTTGTGGCCTAAATTTTTGGTTTTGAGATTCATTCGTGTTCGTGGTGGTCCAAGATCGCGGCAATCAGCATTTCCATACGTCGACAATTTGAACAAAAATGACGTTCTCAAAGTAGCAGAAAGGTTATGGAATGAAGCCTGCGATGAAATGCGATTAGGAATGAAACCTATTATGGGAAACGGAGCAGACGCCCAACCGGTCGAAATTGTTACGATCGCTTTAGGTTTCAGTGGACTGGAACGTGCTGAAGTTGGTCAAAAAACGATCGAAGGTTTCTTTGGTGGCGGTAGCAGCGCCAATAAGAGAAAGAGAGTAGAGGAAGAGAAGGAAGTCAAGGATGATATAGCGAATGCAATTGAGGAAGCAGACGAAAATGTACTTCGGTGGAAGTGTGATGAATGCGGTGAGCAAATAAAACAGCATATATCCGAAATTACCGAGAGTATCAGTCCAGTCAAGGAGCAACAGGCTGAAACAGAAGACTTTTTCGATGATGAAAACCCGTTTGACAACATACCCGCAATGAAAGAAGGAGAATCAGATGCAAAAGCTAATGCTCAGCATCGATTAGACATTCAAATTCAAGATCATAAAGATTGGCACTTTGCCGTCAATCTATCCAAACAAGCATGGCCAGAAGAAGAGAGGAGTGTTAGCACATCTAGCAGTCCTCAGGTCAATCGTTCCACCCCTACTTCATCTTCAACACAAAGCAAGAAAGTCAAAAAGCCAAAGAAAGGAAGTTTACAGAGCTTCTTTGCCAAACAACAATCTTCTCAACAGTGAAGAAGATTCATCTGTACTATAGACAAGCATGTCCAATATTGTATACTAGCAAATCGAATAATTGTCAAACAAGTTTTATTGACCGAACTGTACGTTTCTGTGCCTGAACGGTACCTGAATAATGAATGATGAGAAAGGGAGGATGGTAATGAAATTATATAATACGGCATTATGCATCGATTTAGTCTAAGTAACACGTTCCCTAACATGTACAAATTTAGGGGCACCCGAGCACAGTTCTGAAGCACTTGTTTGTTTTTGTTAGCGTCATTTTTTCCTTTAGCTCCAACAACACTTCTTCCGAAGTTCATACTTTTAATGTTTTAAACTTTCAAGGTGAGAGAACAATGCTTCTTAACGGTTCCTGAACCAAGAAAAAGAAGAACATCAACGGAAGAACGTTTAATTGAAACAGATGTAGGAGCAAGAAAAAACAAGCACTGCATCAGGAGTAATAAAAGTGCAGATAAAGCCGAATGAATGTCGTGTGCAGATCATTCATCCACTCCTTGATACCCATCCGTCATGACCGAGGGGCGCAAAAGTCTCGACAAAAGCTGTGAAGGGCAAAAGGATAAAAGCGACATCGAAGTAGGATTATCAACTTCTCATTCCCCCCATCATCACAAGGTCGCTCTGCAAGAAAAAGACCATTCCGCACAAACTACATTCTCTTTCGCAAAGATGAGAACGTATGCAATGCTTGTCATATCAAGTGTCGCCCTGACTTGGGCTTTGTTGTTTGTAGGAAGTGCCTCTTCTAAGCCAGTGGAAGCTGTATCGAGCACCACATCAGCATCTTCTGGAGATCAAGCATCATGGACTGCACCTTCTGCTTTCCCAAGTGGAGTGTTCAAACACTGGAGGGTCAAACCAGGAAATTACTCCCAAGAACCTCGTCCAGCAGTGACAAAATTCGGTTCAGGAGGATACTTTTCGCAGAGTATCGACCAACCCTATCCACTGCAAACAGGACCTCCAGCTTCAAATGCTGTTTATCCCGACAAGAAAGAGCAAGCACCACACAAGAATTACGCAAAAGAGATTGAAGCGAATATCACTTCTTTGATCGCAAACAACAACACTCAACAAATCGCCTGCCAGAGGTGTATCTCCGGCTTACGACTCGGGCAAAAGCTTGCCAAAGCAGCACCACATCACGTTCCTGGCGTTCTGATCGATTTGTGTACAAGATACAACTTCACATCAACCAAATCAGGCTTGTCGCAAGCGGAAGTCTGCAAAAGAGAATACTCAGGCGCTACTTTGGGCTCCTCACTTACTCAACTGTTGAGTTATGCAGATTTGAATGGCGAGAACCCAAGTGATGGCTTGTACCTCTGTGCAAATGTTGTCGGCACTTCCAGTGGCTGCAAAAACCCTGCTCCAATAGACCTGAACGCAGACGGATTCTTGGACAAGTGGTTCGGCGGTAAGAGCAAGAGAAGTGCAATCCGCAAACGTAGCGAATCAGTAAGTCATCTTGACAAGCGTACCGGTCCCGCCCACCTAGACAAAAGAGGAAATAAGAAACATATGCGTTTATTACACTTCTCAGATATTCACGTGGATCCAAGATTCTTTGTTGGAGGTGAAGCACAATGCACTTCAGGACAATGTTGCCGTTCCGACTCTTTCAACTCTACAGTAGCCCATGCACCCCCTTCGCCACCAGGATCCTATTTACCCGCTGCTAATATCAGTGAAAAGGCCGTCTATTGGGGAAACTATAAATGCGATGCTCCATGGCCATTGGCAGTTTCAGCAATGCAAAGCGTCAAACATCTCAACAAAGGTGAAGATGTTGATATGTCTGTGTATACAGGTGATATGGTCACGCACGATTCTGATTGGCATTTGAGCAATGATTTAGTGACATACACGCAACAAGCCATCTTTGATACCATGAAGCATTTCTTGGGTAACGGTCCAGTGTTCAGTGCTATTGGAAATCATGATACCGCACCTGCCGATCAATCATCACCAAATAGTCTTCCGGATAAAGGACCACGAGATCAATTCTCATACGATTGGGATAACCTAAAACGATTATTTGAAGCCGAAGGATGGTTTTCGCATGAAGAAGCAAAACAAGTTTCACGTCATTATGGTGGGTATTCTATTAGCCCTCGTAAAGGATTGCGTGTGATCACACTCAATTCGGACTTTTGGTACAAAGGTAACAGATACAACTTTATTCAAACTTCTAATCCTGATCATGGAGGTATCTTACGTTACTTAACTGATGAATTAGAGGCTGCCGAACAAAGACGTGAACGTGTATGGATTGTTGGACATGTTTTAACAGGATGGGATGGCTCGAATGGTCTAAGTGATCCTACCAACCTATTCTATCAAATCGTCGATCATTACGCTCCACGGACGATTGCACACATCTTCTTTGGACACACCCATGAAGATCAATTCAACGTTTTCTATGCGAATAACGGAACTCAGCGTACATCAGTGAACGCAAAAGCAGTTTCATTCATGGCACCTTCCATCACACCTGGCAGTAATGTCAATTCAGCCGTTCGAATTTATACCGTCGATCCGGAAACGTATGAAGTTCATGATTACGATCAATTCTATACCCAAGTGAACGATTTTCCTGGCTTACCCGAATCACAACATGGACCGATTTGGACACATCTTTATTCGGCAAGAGAGGCTTATGGTAACTTTAGTCAATCGGCTGTTTCAGGTGCAGTTGCCAATGGAACAGTCAAATTGACCGATCAAGGTTATTGGCCCGCTCAAGCACCACTCAATGCAACATTCTGGAGTGCTTTGACGGATGAAATGGAAAAGAGAAGCGAACTCGTTACCCAATTCCGTCATTTCACCGGTCGTGATAGTCCAAAATCACCCGGTTGTGATTCAGGGTGCATTGCAGCCAACATCTGTTACATGCGTAGCGGAAATGCTATTCTCGGTCAACAATGTCCAACAGGAGCGCATTATGCTAGTGTACAAAGTTAATCCTATTATAGAAAAAGTACATCAATCTAATATTCATTGCAAAGCACTGATGTCTGCACCCAACTTTTCACCAAATAGCATTTGACGAACGACTTTTCCTGTTCCCAATCCGAGTGTGATTCCCCAACAGCTATGACCTGCAGCAACGTAGATGCCAGTAGATTGATCACCAGCGATGATGGGACCAGAAGGTGCGATTGGTAAATAGCATGCTTGTTGTTTGTCAATCTTTGCACCTGCTTCGCTGGAAAGATGAGAAGGTGATAAATGTGCAACTTGTTCGATCAATTTTTCCGTTTGAGATTTATCGAATGAAACTTCGCTTGCTGATGCCGGCAAAGGTGTTTCATCCGATCCACCACAAGCATATACCGTTCCATCTCCACGACAATACACTTCCGGTGCTCCGGCTGCTTGTCCTGTTCGAGCTGTGGAAGATCCTTTCCGCATGTAGTGCATATCCGTAAACAAACAATGAGCAGTCGTGGGCTGAGGTGCTTGAACGACGATGGAATGAGCACGGGATCCAGTGATTCGCATTGCATTTCGCAGGTATCGCGGAATGTTCTTTTGTGTGCCAGCAGGTAGTAATGATTTCACCAACTTTCCTGTCCATGGACCAGCAGCCACCACAACGTCTGTAACTGGCAATGTTTCTTGTTCCTTGCTATCTATGTTCTGGATTGCAAGACCCTTCACATGACCTTCACTATCCAACTCTAAACGCTCTGCTCTTGTGGAACACAACACATTCACCTTTCCTTCCCCAAGAGATTTGGCTTGTTGTACCAGATGTTCAACGAGCGGAAGTGGCGTAGCTTGAGCAGTTGTTCCATTTCCTCCCATATTGGAAGCACTGCTGACATATTTTGCATCAATCCATCCTTTCACATCATCAGGACATTTGTTTCGCGTTTTACTATCATCAAACCCTATCGAAAGTGTATCAACATTTCTATAACCCCATTTCTTTTCACCTCCATCCGATTCGGCTAATTGACGATGCAAATCAAAACTTAATTTTGCCAAAGATGCTGTATCTGCACCATGCCAATCTAATGCCAAGAATCCTCCGCTTTTGCCGGATGCTGCAGGTGCGATTGTTGGAGCTTCTTCGAGTAAAGTGACTTGTGTATTTGATGGTAGTCCATCTTTGACGAGGTAGTATAATGTTGATGATCCTATTATTCCACCACCAATGATGGCTATATGCCTTGACTCATTTGCAGTGGTAGGCATTATCGAACGATCCAACAAGATTCGAGTGGCAAGAATGATGATGAAATGTTATCAGAAGTGATGGTTGTGAAGTGAGAATCAGTGGCGTAAGAAGAAATGAATAATGACCAAGGCAGACAGAAGCATTAGCGTATTTCGGCGGGAACTTTTATACGCCCCGACTGCGTGGAGGTGTATATGGTCTGATAGACTGCTCTAGTGCCGTATCGAATGCATGAAAGTTACACAGCATCTCTGTTCGTTTCTAATGCATTAATTTCGGCACATTCTTAAACATGTTGTACTATGTTGTTCATGCTGTCATCCAAAAGATGACTATCATCATCATTTCATAGCGATGAGCAAGTTCTTTGATAAATTGGGTAAGAAAGCTGCCAATCTCGGCCAAATTGGTCATTCGAACGAAGGACAGTCCAATCACGCAAGAGGAGAATGGCAAGATGCTCCATTTGATGCACATCCAAACAAACATCAAATTTATACTTATCGCAAGCAAAGAGGTGTGAACTTGGGCAGCTTGTTCACTTTGGAAACATGGCTTACACCTAGCTTGTTCGAAGGCGTTCAAGGAGCAAGAAGTGAATTTGATTTGTGTAGTGCCCTTGATGGCAATACCGTCCGTCAAAGATTAGAGAAACATTGGAATACGTTTGTCAATCAGGGAGATTGGCAATGGATGAAAAGTAACGGAATCAATACTGTCCGTTTACCGCTTTCGTATTACCACTTCTTGCCAGGACATCCTGATACAAATGTGAGAGGATTAATGGCTGATACAGAATACGAACGCTTCAGTCCGATTTATCAAAATGCACATCAATGCATCCTCAATATCATCCAAGCAGCCGGTTCACATGGCATTGGCGTTTTGATAGATTTGCACGGCGCTCCGGGCGGACAAAATGGCGAAGGTCATTGTGGTTTATCAACCGGAAAAGCAAACTTTTTCGAAAAGAGTAAAAATCGAAAAAATACAATTTCAATCCTTTTGGCAATCGCTGCAACAATTACGCAATACGAAAATGTGATCGGATTAGAATTGATCAATGAACCACAAAATCATCAAAAATTACCTCAGTGGTATGCTGATGCAGTTCATGAGCTATGCGAAAAGTACGGTACCCGATTACCACTCTACCTTGGTGACTGTTGGAGTGTAGAACAATATTCTCAGTTATTAGCTCAAAATCGACATTTGGGATTCTTGGTGATGGATCATCACTTGTACAGATGCTTTACGTCAAACGATCACTCCAAATCAGCCAAACAACATGCCGAAGAAATTCATCCATCAAACAACGGACCTTCTTTGGGATTATTAAGCAATGCATCTGATAAGTTGCAAGGTGATTTTGTCATTGGTGAATGGTCTGCTGCTTTGCATCATACGAGCTTGCAAGGGCTACCTAGCCATCAAGACGGTCAACGAGAATGGGCATTCGCACAATTGGAAGCCTATCATCAAAATTGTGGCGGCTTCTACTTTTGGACATTGAAGAAAGAAGGTCCTCCAGATGCAGGTTGGTGTCTCTATTCTGCTGTAGAGCAAGGCGTTCTGCCTTCCGGTCTGGGAGCCCCGCATGCTTCCAAGCCTGTCGATCAGTTGGCATCGTTTGGTGAAACAGAAGCAACGAAAGCTCATGAAGGTCATGTCAATTATTGGAACGCACATGCCGATGGAAAGCCGATGAATCATGAGAAATTCAAAGCTGGCTTTCAACAGCTCTGGGCAGACTGTTTGGCATTTTACCAATCCGATGCAAGTCAAATCGGATTTTCCGGAAGATGGACCGAACAGCGAGCCAAAGCATACTCCAAACAATTCGGAAGCGAGGGAGAGTGGGAATATGTGCACGGCGCAAGACAAGCCTGTCAAGCATTCAATCATGCTATTCACACCTGAAACCCTTTCATCTTGTATCCATACCTTTTCAGTTTAATAGAGTTTCCTAATCCACATTTTAGTCAGTCAAACCAAGGTGCTGTGGAAGATCATTGCATTATCTTGCAGTATGCTCATACGGATAGAATTTAAAGCTCATCCTTTGCTTGAGCAGCGCGAACAGCGTTAGCTCGGCTTCCTTCGATACCCAATAGTTCGACTGTAGGAGAGATTGAGGCGTTAGCAATGAGTGTAAGCCATTCAAAGAGCTTCGAATCATACTCACCATCAAAGACAAGAGCTGCCCCCGGCGGGATCGACGCTCCTGCACCACGCTCACCGTACCCTTTATCTGACGGAATTTGAAGTTTACGCTTTTCACCGATGCACATGTCCAATAGACCTTCATCCCAACCTTTGATCACTTGACCGACACCGATTGTGAATTCGAAAGGTTGTCCTCTGTCCAAAGAAGAATCGAACTTTTTGCCATCCCACAGAACACCTGTATAATGCATGCTCAATTTATCACCACTTTGTGATTTGATCTTGCATTCTGATGCTGGAACACTCTTTTTGACGCCAACTTGAAGTTTGGTTGGAGGTTCTTTTGCTAGAACAGCAGTAGATGCAGCAAGGAATGCTAAGATTGTAGTTGTTGAAATGAGTCTCATCTTGATAGGAGAGTAAGATGGTGGAAGGATGTCAACCTGTTCACCTTTACTTGCGCGCCTAATCACACGTGGAATAAGGCTTTCGCATATCCCCGCACGGGCAAAAGTACTGCTGAAGTGCCTTGAAATTTAAAGCTCACCTTTGTTTGTGTGTTGCTTTCTTCTAAAAAGGACCGTGCGTTGAAAACAAAGGAAAGTGCATACATTCAAACACAACATGCTGAGTTAAGGACATGATGACAAGGTTGTTGATGGCCATACCACCTAAAGATGGCAACGGCAAAGATTGCAACATTGGCCATTCGAACATTGGCAAAACCAATTGCAACGCAAATAAAACATCAAGCACAAAATCATCAAAGATTTCGAACGATATGTATCGGTCTTGCACAATTTATGCATAGAACAGAAATGGCATTACGAACAAACCTTCTTGCTTCACCATCTTCTACCAAAGATGGAGAAAAACAGAAGATACGACCACTAAATGAAGCTAAAGCGGTGACAAATGGAGCAAATGCATTAGCGGAAGGATTCTTGTTTGCTCTTGCAACCGCTTTGATCATTGGAGAATCATATAGAGGAAGTCGAAGTAGGGCAAAACAGCGAGATCGAACAGAAGAAGGTTTGGATGAGCTGCGATTGATCACCCAGACCATAGCCGAAAGGGTTGGAGTAGATTTCGATAAGATAATGGAGAGAGTACACGAGATTGAAGCAGAGAAGAAAGGGTCGGATGAATTTGATGATGAAGATGATGCAGAAAAGAAAGAACATAAGAAGCAAGCATCCCTGCTGCAATCTCTGTACAAACAACGTCAGGATATGGAGAAAGAGAGAGACCGTCTCCAACATGCGGTGAACGTCCTTCTAAGGCTAGCTTTGAAATCTGGATGGATACAAGGGGCTGAAGCTTTACACCTGCAAAAGATTCTCGATGGCACAGATGAACATTCGAAAGAAGAGGAAGAAAGTACAAATAGCCAGAAAGCACATATACCAGACCAGACAAAGGAACAGACCGCTACAGCACCAAACAATAAGGACGATATAACAATCACCACTCAATCACCAATCCTCACCCAACTTGCTCAATTGCAGGCTCGACAATAGATGGCGAGTGAGGCTGTATTATACGCTCGGAGTAATGCTATTCATCTAAAGGAATTCTTGCATCGTTAATCAGACGTGTGTGCCATCTGTAGAGCATCTTTTGCCATTTGCGTGTTCGAATATTCCGTGCCGGTTGCGAAGGTAGCAGCAAAATCCCGATGCGTTACATGGTATGCATGGAACTGTTCACGATGAGCTCGAAGAGCTTGTTGAATCTGCTTAGGCTCGATCGGTTTGCTGCCCTTTCTGAGCCTTTTCATATTGACAGAAGCAGGGAAAATCTCCGTTGCAGCGTTCTTAGGCCAATTGTCAGGTTTCTGACTAGCTACTGTTTCATTACTCTGGCATGACACTTGTTCTTTGCCTTTGCCGCCTTTGTCGCCTTTGTCGCCTTTTCGGAACTTTCGGAATTTAAAGCAACCAGCATAGACGGCTTGTACAAACGAGAGGATGAGCAGGATCTCATAAATATAATTGGTATACGTGAAAATGCGCATCTTACGTCTGATGATGATGGTGGACAATGATGACGTTTCCCTTTTTGCGGGTGTCATCTATCGCAAATCACAGCTCATCTACACAGCATACTTAAATCTGATACAGTTTACTGATATTCAAAGCCCCGATGGTTACCCGTCAGCAAGACTTGCGTATTGTGCCAACAGTCTCAACAAAATTTGCCATCGGATAGTGTTACTATTGTCAACTCCGTGATTGTGGCGTCCTTTCGATATGTTTTGCAATCTGAGATTGAGACCACATAGTGCCTCTTCCATGTGTGGCAGCATAATCTCGATGCAACATATGATACGCTTGCATCTCTTCTCGATGCGTCCTGATCAAATTGCGTGCATGCCCAAGATCGATTGGTTTTTTACCATTATCAGTGCCTGGCGTACGTATAGGGGCAGGAAAGTTAGCTGCTGCTTGTGTGTTTGGCCATGAAGAAGGAACCTGATGATTGCTTTTTGAGCTGCTTGGTTTGGATGGTACGGCTGTAATACCTTTTCCAGCTGGCTTTCGATTGAAGATGGCTTTCAAACCTATGTTTTGATGACTAGTGGACGATCCTGCTCCTTGAGCGATAGGCACTCTTGCGTTCGGTTGAGCTCGGCTGCCAGATATGCCTGTGCTTTGTGCTTGTCTTCCTAGCACAGCCCTACCTAAATTGGAAAATATCTTGTGGAAAGAATATATATCATTAGTACACACATTCGGAACCAATTACGATACTATTCATATAAACAAATACATACCCTTCTTTCTCCAGCCGGGACACATTGTATGCATTGAGAAAAAATGGCAACCAGTACCATTGTGAAGCTTTGCGTTTTTATCGAGACATACATTTCGAGTATTTTATGTATGATGATGGTCAACAATGTCAGCTTATGTCAAGTAAGATCATGATAGACTACTCATTTTTAACAGAAGTTTCACGCCCTCTTTGATAATATGATAGCCCCGATCTCTACATCGGAACATTCAACCTGTTGAGTAGCTGTAAGGCATTCGGGGGGACGCTCGTTTCTTTATCCCCGTGAGGATTCTTGGTTTTGTCGTTCCCGCCTTGCTGAAAATGGGTGCGGCTCTACACAGCCGATGGCGGTGAATTCAATCAAACGGTGTACGAATGAATGGTGTTGTTACATAAACATCGAATAAAGCGATCCAGCGACCTCATTGCCACTCATTACAAGTTTCGGATGGTGGATAGAACGAGCTGCTAATTGGTATTCGCTCACGACTACCTTCTCGTGCGGTACCTCTACCGATACTTTCTAGTGTGATACCTTTAAAAGTCCTTATCGATATCATTGTGCCTCTACCGATCCCTCCTGGTATGTTATCTCTAA